AAGATCCATGAAACTCAAAACCCTAATCCAAACTCTCTTCATCTCTCGTGTTTGTCGACTAATCCGCGAAATCTCAAGAGCTTCATCCATTCTTGTTAGAGTCTTGAGGAAGAAGCAATACAATCTCTTGTCAGTCTCTTCTTTACTCTACCCAAAGAGAGCCTCCAAGAAACAAAGGAATAACATTTTCTTTGGCTCCTTTAGACTTCACTACAACTTTTGCTCCTCTCATGTAGTGCCGGTCTCTGCGCCAGTACGTCTCCCTGAAGAGCTCTACTTGGCTCATCTCCAGTACGACTCCACTTTGGAGTCCATGTATTCGAAAGAATCGCTGAATGGTCTCGGTGATGATGATGTTCATGAACCATCTCAGCTCTCTAGCTATCTAAGACAGCTAGAGGATGATGAAGAAGAAGATGAAGAAGGTAAAGAGGTAAGGATGATGAATGAAATTGATAAATTAGCTGATATGTTTATAGCAAATTGTCATGAGAAGTTCATGTTGGAGAAGGTTGATTCGTATAGGAGATTTCAAGATATGCTGAATAGAAGCAGTTGATAGTGATGATGATGATGATGATGGGGTCCAATTTGTGTATCTTTTTTATATAATTTCACTTTTTTCTTCTTTTATATATCTTTTGAATTCCTTGATAGAATTTGAATTATCAAGACATGTATTAGAAGCAAAGGAATGGATTGTGTGGTGTTTGTTGTGTTACGAGATATGATGTTTATGAATTATAACTAGAATAGACAGTCCAAAAAGGAAAAATGAGAATGGTTTAATTGGTTTTTGTAACTTTCACTTTTGTGGTTTGTGTTCTTTTGCTATTATCTTGTGATATGGTTGTTTGCTTCTGATGTACAAGGGGACCAAAAGATTTTTGGATCTTTTTTTTTCTAACTTTTCTATGCTCGATTTGATCTCTTTTGAAATATTGTTTTGTAATTATCTTGTGGAGACATTTTGAAATAAAATAAGTAATTTATGACCAATTTCTTTATACTCTAATCCATTATCAAGATTCAAAATTGAGAATTTGCTTTATGTATATTTCGATCACGGTACAAAGACTCATAACTTGTTAAACAAGAAATTCAACTAGATTGGGTATGTCAATTAAAACAGAAGGTTAAAACTTCATCATTCTTCTTTTTTCGATTAGAATGCTTCGAGTAGTTTTATTGATTTACGTTGTTATCGTTGTGAAATATCAGAGCAACTCTTGATTTTGTCTATACACAAGGTGGTCCAAAAGCTACAGTAAGTAAAACAAACCACACAATAACATAATTAGAAAACACCAAAGAGAGAGCTTCTTCTTCAGAGAGAGGGTTTTCTACGCCTTAGTCCTGTCCTTCTTGGGAAGGAACCCATCTAAAACAAACCACGACGAATTAATGACGACTTTGTTACCAAGAAGCAAGAATCAAGAGGAAATGTATGTTATGTACCTGCAAGGGGGGGGATCGATAAAGCCCCATGTAAAGGGCTCTGGGTCGGGGTCATGAACCATAACCTTGTCAACTACAATCTTACATCCTTCGACATGGCATTTGCATCCACCATTATTAAGCTCCACCGCCTTCTCTACAGCGCCTGGTCCCCTAATAAAAACGATACATGTCCTAAAAAATCAACCAGAAACAAGTCTTTAGTAAATTGGCATTGAGATATAAGTTGGGAAAAGAAGAAGAAGAAGTTGTGGTTTGGAAGAAGAAGCCACAAACTTTTTGAGAACACCGGCTAAGGGACCAATAAGATGATCGAACGACCTCTCCACATGAAGAGAAATGTTCAATCAGGACCTTCTTGACAACGTCCTTAGGAAGACAAGTGTCATATATATCCCGTAACGAACAACCTACATATATATATAATAATAATAATTTGTATCAAGTTAACATAACATGATAATAATTCGATTCTTGGTTTCTTCATCTAGGTTATTTTTATTGCTAAAACTTNATTAGCTACCTAGTTTATACACTAAATTGACTTCTTAGTTCAACCTAAATATGTTGCAGTCAGGAACAATGATACGATTTGTCTATAAAATATAGTTTAAATAGACCCTATAGGTTTACAAATTGATTACGTGACCAAGAAGATTCAGAGTAACCAATATTGTTAGGTCAATTTATAGTTGGTTGAATACCAAAATGGGCTATATGTANGGAATATTATTCACGTACAAATAAATACAACACACATGGAGAGTTTATACAATATAGTTTACATATTTGAGTATTCGTTTTATAAACCTCTAGCTACGTTAAGGACAATGATACTAAAATCTATGAACTTATAGAATGCAAATCTGTTTATCTAGTAGACATGGGGACATTTGGTAACGAATAAATCAAAGAATAAATCGATAAAACTTAATAAAATAACAATGTTTAAGAATAGTAAAATATATTTTTTTAAAAATATTTATATTGA